AGCCAACGACTCTCTGATTTTCAATCGCTCAGAGACAACAGACGGGGTTATCACTTTATACTGCGGCACTTCCTTCAACAGTTTCTCGTAGGTTGGTTTATCAAACAGAACCATGTTGTTCAGCTTGTCCCTGACTTTTCCCTTGGACCACTTCTTCTTTTTCGCCTTCCCGCCGCCACCCCCTTCCTTCGGCTTCATAGTTTTCATCGGCTTTTTCTTCTGTCCAGCATCTTTTCCTTTAGCACCCTTGGCAGCTGTTTTGGGGGGCTAAAAACTCAACACAAACAGACTGTAATTACCATTACTGACCGCGTGCAGACCGTGAGGTCGTGTGGCGCGTCCTTTGGCGCAGCTAAACACCAATGACCTCAAGGGCTTCACCGAACGGAAGGTGAACCTACTAAACTTATACCGTCGAGGTGCCCAAAAGTGGCGTCAGGCGAATGATTGGCATCCATCTCCACCACTATGGCAACTGCCGGATCCGGGCTACCTTGATTCGTCAAGATGTTGCGCGTGTTTCGATTTTCATAGACGTGGCATATTCACAGATTCACGAATCGATAAACATAGTCGAGGCTTCAGCCAAGTTTCCCGGGTCTGTTTTGATTTTTCCGTCCAGCGTCTGTCGTCCACGTGAAAGGCACAGGTGACAAGAAGGGTGTATCACTGCTGTTTAGATTCTCAGCGCGGGGCAATACAACTACCAGTACAAGGACTCGCATAAATTGCTGTTCACGGATTCACGGATTGATACACTACTACCCGAATGAAAAAATGTTTTGCCTAATGAGTGTGTGTGCCCTGAACTTGAAACTTTTCTTACAATGTCCTCGCCGGGTGTTTGCCTGGTCAACGGTAAAAAGCCTGCTTGCCAAGCTTTGTTCAAACAGGGCGTAAGTAAGAATTAGGTCCCCTCGGAGGCGACGGTGCTCCAGGGGAAAGAGATCAAGCATCGCCAGGCGCGTTTCGTAGTCCACGGATTTGAGGCCGGCAACCATTCT